AGAAAAATAGGGAAGACATGTTAAAATCATATATATAACTCAAAGAAACACCATACCTCAAGTTTTAGAGAGAGAAAAGATGAGAAAAATCTTAAAATCAATAGCATCAAAACCCGATCTCCACCACACACAACGTAGTCCTTGATAAGCTCTCCAACTTTAATGAAGACACTAGGGTCAAAATCCCAATAGATTTGGGAAGATCAAGAAATATATTAGGTGGGTGGATGGTTTTTCTAAAGAGAGATAAGCGAAAAGGGAGAAAACTGAATTGTAGAGAGAGAGAGAGAGAGTGAAGTGTAAAGTGATGGAGGTAATGTATGGCTCAACTTTTAAGTGATTGGATACATTTTTTGGAGCTAAGTATGGATAGACGGCTTGAGCAAACAATTCTATGCTCGGGCAGTGAATTCAAACTCCCAAAATTTCTCTTCTCTATAAACAGATCGCTCAAGCGGTGAAAGTATACCTCTAGTATTTCAAACTTCAGAACAAAGAACTGGAAGGACATCTATACTGCTCGAGTGGTCCCAACTTTGAAGTGAGACCAAGGCAACCTTAGAGCATTCCCACCATTCTCGGATTCACGCCAACACTCAAAGATGCAAATTGATACCTCAGAACACACTAGGATCTACATGAACAACCACAAGAAAGGACTAGGTGACAACACAAGACTCAAAGAGCTCAACGGTAACAAGGACAATTAAAAGAGACAAATATTTCATATTCATATACTCAAATTATTTTAAAAGGACTCGAGACATCACAACTTTAGTCTTGCCACTTATTATGAGTGATACGTTACCATTACCACTGTCAAAATAATTAGATCTTCTTATTATATTCCTACTAATGATCCTGAATCAATCTCTACTTTTTATTTGAGAGAAATTTTGAAAGGAAATAGTTTCGGTGGTTCATGATAAAAACGCTAAGTAACTTAGATGTTTTTAATTTTAATTAGGGGGCATTTCGGAAAAAGTGAAGAAAAAATCAACAAAGAATTATGACGAGCTACCATATATAACAACACTATTGAGCATAAGTTTATGGACATTGTATGGAATTTTGGATCCAGACGATGGTATCCTAAGTACCACTGTAAATAGTGTTGGTGTTGTCTCTCAACTCTTATATGTCTCTCTCTCTCTCTCTCACTCACTTTCTCTTATATGCTGCTGTTTGCACCTGTTTTTGCCAAGTTTTGTCGACAGGTGGTTCAGTTAATGAAGAACACGTGGCCAAGTCTAGAGTGGATGTCCAGCATCAAAGGATCATGTCTAACAATTGAAAGTGGGTTTTTGCATATGGGTCGACTATAAGTGATGGAGCGGTTACTAGCAAGGATCATGGAGTTAGTGAGAAGCCTTTCAAGAGGAAGCATGAGACAAAGTAGAAGCTTTTCTTTGTCGAGGGAAGGTTAAAAGAGCTTGTGGGCATGAAATAGCCTCAAGGAAAAACAGATCAACAGACAGAAGTGAAGGATTAATGAAGTTAGAAGGCCTAGAAGCCATGAAGCAGTTGCAGTAGTTACACAACAGCAGTTGCAGATTGAGGAGATCATGGGGGCATATGAAAGAAGAAGTATAAAGGCCAGAGATTTGCAAAAATCAAGGACATCAACAACAACATAACAACTTAGTTTTTAGACCTAGGAATAGTTGAGATCATAATTTAGGAGTAGTTTTTACTATTGTAGTCTATAATATAATGAATATAAGTAATTTCAGCACGAAGTTGCTTTTGTTTGTTTAATCTACCTTGTTACCATCTGTTGAGACAGAAAGTTTGTTTATCTTCTTGTTTACTTTGTTGTCATCAAATAATCCAAAGAAGTCCTCATTCTTTTTAGGCATTCGAACCAGAGCCACAATTGTTTGATTATTCTGGTTTAAGTTGTGTAGTTTAAAATTACTGCTTAGTTGCTATCAATCCGGCCCTAGCATAATTTTTACTAACAGCTCCCCTCCATAAAATAAAAGTACTACCATCCTCTCTCTGCCTATGCTTGTGCACATGATTGAATAGAAGATCAATCGAGAATGTTTTTGTTTTTTTTGGTAGGTTAAATCAATGAGTTTGTTGGGAATACTAGTAGGAGTGGTGGGGACAGTAATAGCAGTGACTCGTCTAGCATTCCATGGGAGTGCCCGCCGCACTTTTGTTGGAGTTCTTCTATGTGCAACTCTTACCAGTGCCATGTATATGTTGCACCTCTTAAAGTCGTAAATAAAATTAAAAAAAAGGAAGAAGAAGAAGAAGTCCATTCTTACAAAATTTTCACACAAATTTCATAATTGAAATGATGTGATAATGATAATTTTAAAAAAAAAAAAAATCAAACCAATTTCAATGGGTCCTTTTGCTTTAAAATGGTAAAATTAATATTTTGTCATGTCACATGTATTAATTAAGTAAAAATCATCATAAAAACATAGAACTAGAAGTGGGTTATGTTCTGTGGTGTAAGTAATGTCATAATTCAAGTTGCACCATAACATATGCATATACTTGCACCTCCATGTTTTCTACAATTATTTTCCCTTCTTCCTCCTATTGATTTACAATCTAACTTCAATTTTTTTTTCTTTTGTATAATTTTTTTTTTGTATGTATCACAATCATCAACTAATTCACAATCTTAAAAAAGTGATAATTTTTTTTTTTTTTTTTTTTGAGTTTTTTGTGCATTTTTCATTCATTCAATGAAAAACAAGGTAGTTGTTTGTTTCAATGATCCAAAATTCCCAACAAATATATATATATATCAGGAAGCAACTAATCTCCCTCCATGTTTACTCATTGGGGTCGAATAACTGCACTAAAAACAAGACTCATGAAATGTGTTTATTGTTAGTGGCTTTGATAAACAACCATGAAACCTGTGTAACTAGCAGTAAACTTTTATGAATAATGTTCAATAATAGTTGCTCTTTACTCGTCTTATTTGATCTGTTTCAAATTACTATTATTATTATTATTTTAACAGGAACGGTAATAAGAATGAAAAGCATGGAGTACATGCCATTCTTCCTCTCATCTTCCTCGTTTCTGTATGTCAGTGTTTGGTTTACTTTCGGCATGCTAGTCAAAGATAACTATGTCCTAGTAAGTTCCTATGTTGTTTGTGTGTGCTTTCATGTGCAAATATTTTCATATTCACAAACTTGACTAGAGTGAACACAACAAACCAAGTGATTTCAACCAAATCAATGAATTGTCTTTTACTCATTTTAGGTGCCAAATGCAGTTGGAATTGTGTTGGGCTTGGCTCAGTTGATTGTCTATATGATCTACAAGAACAAGTCATCATTGTCAATACTGAAGTCAATGTCGATGATTGAAGACAAAGGATCAGATCAAATTACCTCTCTACTTTTTAACACGTTTTATCAAAAAAAGTTAAAAAGTCAACTTTTGACCTACTTTCCAAAATAGGCTGAAGAGGGCATCAAGATGCAAGATTTTGTGAATGATGATGAAGCTTAAACAAAAAATCATGGACTCATCAAAGGAGGAAATCTCCGGAGCCCATCTCTAGACAACACAGCTTAAAAAAAGAGTGATGAAGACACTTTCATTAAGTTCACTACATACAAAGTCTAGTTTGACCCGTGAAGATGACACTGAAAATGGAGGTTCAAAGGATCATCCTTAATTTTCACTAGGAATTTGAGAGAAACAAGGGCCTAAAATACTCGATTATCAAAAAAGAAAGAAAAAAGATAAAAAGAATAGTGGTGCCTTCAGTAAACTCAAAAAGAATATGCTCTCTAATTATTAATTAAAAATGGAGAGCCAAAAACATTAGTAATTCAAGGGTAAAAAAAATCAAATATATGTGACCTTTATTTATTCTTGGGAAGCATGTCATGTTATATGTTTATGTTCTACAAGTACAATCCATAAGATGGTGGACCAAACTTCTGTAGCCTTCTCTAATTGATTGGTCTGAGAAGATAAATTATGTGTAATCAAATTTATAATTATTACTTCAAGACATGATTCAATTAATGTGTATGGTCAAATTTTAAGAACAGAAACTCCCATACACCTAAATTATTGAATTTACCTTCTTCTTTTTTTAACTTATCGAATTTACCTTCTTCTTTTTTTTTAACTTAAGTTCAAATTGCTCCTAGATCAATGAGAGATTTAAAAACTATTCGAAAATTTCTCAATAGGGAACCTCATGAGACACCAAGTGAAATCCTGGACGTCATTGCCTGTAATAACAATACAAGGGGCAAAACCAGTCACCAAATGAATCTCAACAGAAGTGCATGAATATTTTACATACCACTCCGTATTTGAACCACATATAAATCTAAGTCGATAAACCCCATGCCTAGTTAATAATCAACGCGTTCCAACACCTTCCTCACTCAACCATGCCTTCCTTGAACATGGTTTCTATATGCATTTTTCAAAATAGTAGCACCAAACAAATTGTGTTTTTTGAAAAAAGAACATAGAAAACAAAATATAGATGTATAATCACAGCACCCCATTCAACCATAAAATAAATCAGCATCTTTAAGCCAATTTTAAATATGCAATACAAAAACTCCAGCATGTGTAATACGGAGGCTGTAAAAATGAATATGATGAAATGCTAAGAAAGTAAAAGCATCAACAGTAATACTTACCCGTCATGCCTCATCTTTACACACAAGTGATCACCATTCTAGAGGGGGAAGCGAAATGTTATCAATTAAACCAACACATTAAAAATGCCACATTTATATTAATCTTAGGCAAAAATTAAAAAAAAAATAAAAACAGATAAACAAACTTGCAGCTTATTCTCAAACTCATGCACCAAATGCTACATAAATTAATCGAACTTACTGCAGTAGTCAAGTTAAAAGTAGTGAAAACAGAATTGTAGTAGGAAAATTTATCATCTAGCCTCTGAACCAACTCAAAGTCATGGAAATGGACCATTTTTTGGCACTTTCTAGTGTACACTGCTGCAGATACTGCTAAACCACCAGTCATTAATACATGCAACTGTGCATGTGCGTTTGTGTACTGACAGAGAGTCCATATAAGTCCATATAAACCCATAATCAGAAGAATAATAATAATATTCAAATTCCGTTTGACGATAATCTGCTCTGCTAAAAATACGATGTAATCATACTAAGCTAAAATTAACATTACAAAAGGAGACCAAATGGAAAACTTCTCCCAAATACAAACCATTAGCTAATTCAATCAAGATCTAATGCAAGTCTAAGAGAGTGATTTGGCTGAATATCTTCACAGCATGACCAAACTGAAAAACATCCCTGCAAAAAAAAAAAAATGCATATTAGAGGTCACACTCACAAAGCATTTTCTATAGACACGAGTTAATATTAGCCCCACTAGTTAAAACTACCATGATATTGTTATACACATCAAACATAACATCATAAAAAATATACACTCTTCCTTAAGGGTTCGGTTAATTAGCAAGATAGTAGATGTAAAATACATGAAAGAAAAAAATCAAATTTTTTGGGCTTTTCTTTTTTGTTTTAGCGAGGGAGTCCTTGAAAGTCTTGGAATGTAAAAACATAACTTTCAGGCTCCAATCCGTGACAAACACCACAACCACACTGATTAGTTCACATTGCAATGTACAATGATCTACAGACTCCTATAGTTTACAAAATTGCACCGATTGCTGGATGCTTCTATGTATTGATTCCATAGTGTCAAATTATGCTCAATACAACAATTAGATATCATAAGAGCATCTCTATCAAATCCCCTTATAATAGCTTTTTGCTTTTATAAGGGATTGATTCTTCAAAAATCATTCCCCATTAGATCCCTTATACAACTCCTTAAAATTAGGATTGCTACAGTCACTCCCTATTTGTAGGGAGTCACTGCAGCTCCCTTATATCTGACAAAACTTGCTTCACCGGTTGTCCACCTAGATGACCCAGATAAAATAATCTGAGTAAAACTTGCTTCGCCGGTCATCCACCTGGACATCCGGCCGGTCAACCTCCCGGACGTCCGGTCCCCGGTTTATGCTTCTGTTGCTTTCTTTGTAATTGTTTGAGCTGTACATAAACAATACAAAGTCCTGGCTTGTTTCAATACATGAACAATACAATACAAAGTCAATACCACTCTTCTTTCTACATATAGAAAGTTCAAAGTCAATACCACTCTTCTTTCGTATTGTCTATGTACATTATATACAGCCAGAGTAGCCTTTGAGCTTCCATTTTTTATTTTATTTTATGTTGTTTAATTATTTTATTATTAAAAAAATATTCAAATTTAAAAATAATTAAAAAGATTATTTTAATGAAATAGAGAAAGAATAGGGAGTTCGTTGGGAAAAGTAGATGAAAAAGTGATTCCTAAAATAGGGAATGAATTTTTTAATAATATTTTAAGGTAAAATTTAGGTAAGCTGATAGGATGCTCTAAGCATAGCTCTAGATCCAAAACCAGGCAACTGAAAAGTGAAAATATGATGCTTGTTTTATTTTAATTGGACACCAATATTTTCTAATTGACAAACACAAACAATTAATTAGCATTTACACAATAAAGGAAGGCACTTGAGCTGTAGTAAACAGAGTGCATGTAACCCTCAATAAGATCTCATTATACTAATCTTGGGAAAGAACTTATGCATAGCTCAAGTGGTTGTAACTCTAGATTTCTAAAGGGTGGGTTTGGGGTTCAAGCTTACAAAGAAGCATCAAAAGACCAGTTATGCTAACCTAACTTGCTAACCTGTGAACATCCAACCTAGTGCCAAAAAAATTTAAAAATTTAAAAATAAAACTAATCGTGGGAAATGATTTGTGTAGGGATCAAATTCTGTCCAGCTTCACGTAATGCCAAATTCTTCATAACCAGTATGTCCATGTGGACTTCTAGATCCCTGTGCCAACAAAAGACTAGAAATATAATTAATGGAAAATTCCCAACATAATCATCAATTCGGTTGAATTCCCAAATCAATCCCAGCAAGCTCAATAGATCATTGAGAGAAAACGGTAACAGCTCCATACAGGTGTAGAAACCCTTATTAGCGGGAAAGAAAGCAAATAACTGAGCGACATGCCACATCAAAATTAAGCAATCGACATCATAGCAGGGGGGAAAAGAAAGAAAGATGCTAATCACATATTTTTTATAATGGGGAAACCTTTCCATCTGCCTGTGTCTATATTACGATTTTTGTTTGCTGTAAGTGGCAATCAGTAAAGCAAACCAAGCTCCAAACACGATTACCAAATCCAAGTGACACAATTAACACTCACATACACAGGTGCAGAAGGGAACAGAATGTCGCGTCATCTACTCAAAACACTAGTTGTAATAAAATACAACTATATCGAAACATTTAATCATACATTAATGATGATGAGGTCACATGAACCAGATGGTACAAAAGTAGCAAAATTCACAAGAGCTTTTTGCCTTTTGATGGTAAGAATCTGCTTAGAGAGAAAAAAGGGAGTACATAGGGATGAAGGATGAAAGGTACCTCCTTGAAGAAAAAAGAAGAAAGAATAAAAAAAAGAGTAAAGCAGTTCCCAACCACCAACAGTCCCATCATAAAAATTATCTCTACATGATCAAAGAGTAGCTGTACCTTTTTCACCCAAACTATATGACAAAACAACCACTGAGCTTCAAAAACATATATAGCAACCATAATGTTCAAAGTCATCCCAAGCCTAACTCACTTTTCACCAAAACCAGCATGATTATTCAAAGGATCTAAATTGGTGAAAAGGTCAGCATAAAATTAAAATACATAAGAGTTTTGGTAGTTAATGGTTCCCTTTTTAAATAGCAAGAAACGTTCTGTCACTATAGACTGAACTCGCTGTGAACCTTTTCAATTATTAGTAGCAGCTCATGTGGAACCCCCAGCTCCCAGCGGGCAAGCCTGCAACTTGTGTTTTGGCTATATAAACATAGCCAGAGACTCTGTTTTAGCTTAGACTAACGGCACCGATTCCTAGTGTTTAACAGTATCAGGCAAGAGTTGCTTAAAAAGTATACATGGCCATATAGTTTGGAGGATGAACATAAACCCAACTCATTTTCAAATAGATCACAAATCGGATAGAAACCATCCCTCACAGTACTATAAGATTTAGACAGCATGACAAACAAGGTCAGGAATCATGAGCATTATTGCTTTATATGCATGAAATACATGAAAACATGTGGTCACAAAATCCATAACTGGAAGGGGTTTGACAGGGAAGTCTATTAAAAGATACCCAACCGAAGGTTAGAGGGGGTAGGGGGATATAAAAGAAAATGGGTTTCAACAGCCAAATTACACCCAATTTAGCTCCATCTTAATTCTTAATGATGCCGGTCAAAAGTCAGCCACAGTATTTACTAAATTTTGGCATTTCAAAAATAACTAGAGGGAAAAATCTAGAAACCGCCATTCTATCCTTCATAAAGAAGGCTAAGATGTCCAATTCATAAGCACACATGGTTTTGTTGCTTATTAAGGATCCTAACTACACATTGCTTCTCTAGAAACCTTAGATTAAAACAATGAGAGGGAAAAAGAAAGAAAAAGAATGAAAGAAAAGCCATGACTACACACCTAGATTTCCTTTTACAAGAATAATCTTCATCATATGAAAAACATATACACTATTGCTATTGCTTGCACTTCCATCAAATACAGTACTAACAGGAAGTAACAGGGCATGGGTAAAAGTTTTACTTACTTACAAGAGTAAGCAATAAAACACATACAGAACCACTAGAATGGCACCTAGGATGCACGAGCAGATATGTCAATACGGAAAAACCAAAAAAAAAAAAGTAGGGTTTGGGTACGGTCCAATACATCCATACTGTATATATAATTTTATAATTCGCACTAGTGCATGACATAAAATAACTAAAAATCATATGTAAAAAATAATTAAAGTATTTTTGTAATGGTCAAAAAGAATTTCAAGTAACTTTTATATTTTTTATAATTGTAAAATCTCCTCTATGTTTAAAGTTTTTAAAAATAGACACAATACAATTATTCTAGTATCCCATTTTTTTTTAAAAAAAATTACATTTTTGTCCCAAAGTACCCACAAAAGTACCCAATACGCGTACCCATACTGGGCAAGTACTTGGTACTCGTATGACAATATTTTTGAAGTACCCATGCTTTGTAGAATGACATTAACACATTCGTACACTATGCGTAATTAAGGATAAAATTCAATTGTCTTTTGTTTCAATGTAAAACAATTTCTTGAAATATTTCTCAAAAAAATTACTCGTCCTCCTATGTTTGGTTGGGAACCTCAAAATGAGCCAAAAAATATTTTCCAATGTTTGACTGGCATAAAAAAATCACAAATATTTCAAATTTCCAAAAAAAAAAAAAAAAAAAAAACAAACAAACAATTCTAAGAAAACATTATGATTGTGTTGAACACCAACCCTTGTCGAACAGTTCTCACATGTGTTTGACACACTCCTCAACAGGTCCTATTATTTCTTTTTAACTTTTTTTTTTTTCAGTTTCAATCACTTGGGGAACCCACATATTGTTTAGACACATGAAGCACATTACAAGTTTAAAGAAAATAACTTCAGGTCTAATGATGACAAAATAATGTTGATTTACATACATACTCCTAATCATTGTTTCGAATTAGTGTTATATTGCAATTTTAACATCTTTAGATGAAATATCGTATCTATGACACAATAAATATATAAAACTACATATGTAACATGTATTCCCTATCCAATATTTTTTTAAGAAATTTTCATGTCAACATGTCCATGTCGTGTTGTGTCACATGTCTATACTTCATGGTCAAATTCCATTCACTACATGAATAGTATGTAGAGCAACAAGAAAATCAACCTAAAAAAATTATTTTTTTTCTAAAGAAACACATTTACTAGTGGTAGTGGGGTAGTTGCGATGATGGTGATTGGGAAACGACAGTGGTTGCGGTGATTGTGGCGGTGGGACGGCGATGGTGATGGTGGTTGTGTAGGCTTGAAAGTAACATCAATCACCATTCACCAACAATGACTTAAATAGCTTCTTGTTCCTAAACAAGGCCAATAACTTCCATAATTGATCCATATCAAATCTCAAAAGAGTGAATGAAAAACAAAGGCATGTGTTATGTCTACCTGTGCAATAAATCTGTGCATCTTCCAAAGTATTCAAATCGTGTTTGATTTTAAAAAGATTAAAATAATAAACAAATAGTACAATGAGTGTCCAATATGTGTTGAGGTGTGTTCATATCAAACAAAATACCTTCAC